ACTCACAACTGCCCTCTCCCTCCCTGGCCATCCTGTGGTAGCCATCTTGTGTCCACATGAGGGCAGCCATCTTTGACCAGATGGGGACAGCCATCTTATGTGTTGGAGTAATGGTCAATTTGCATATTACTCTTTTACTAAATAGGATATCCCTCATGAACATAGATGCCAAAATTATCAACAAAATTCTAGCAAATCGGATCCAACAGTACATCAGAAAGATCATACATACACCATGACCAAGCAGGATTTATCCCAGGGAAGCAAAGATGGTAAAATATCCACAAACCAATAAACGTGATGCATCACATAAACAAATTGAGGGAGGAAAATCACATAGTTATATTAATTGATGCAGAAAAAGCATATGACAATATCAAACACCCTTTCTTGATAAAAACTCTCATCCATATGGGAATAGAACGATCATACCTCAATATCATAAAAGCTATATATGACAAACTAATAGCCAGCATCACACTCAATGGACAAAAACTAAAACTATTTCCCTAAGAACAGAAACAAGACAAGGATGCCCCCTTTCACCACTTCTGTTTGGCAGAGGACTAGAAGAACTAGCCATTGCTATCAGACAAGAAGAAGTAATAAAAAGTATCCAAATCGGAAAAGAAGAAGTAAAACTGTCCTTATTTGCCAATGATATAATACTATACAGAGAAAACCCTAAAGACTCCATCAAAAAATATTAGACTTAATAACTTAATTCAGCAAAGTAGCAAGATACAAAATTAAAGCCAAAAAATCTATGGCATTTTTATACACCAATAGTGAATTTACAGAAAAAGAAACTAAAAAAGCAATCCCATTTACCATTGTACCAAAAACATTGAGATGCCTAGGAATAAACTTAAGAGGTAAAAGACATAATTGCAAAAAACTTCAGGACACCAAAAAAAAAAAAAAAAAAAAAGGAGAGATAGAGGAAGATGTAAGGAGATGGAAGAACATACTGTGTTCATGTATTGGTACTATCAACATCATCAAAATGTCCATACTACCCAAAGCAATCTATAGATTCAATGCAATCCCCATTAAAATACCAATGGCATATCTCACAGACCTAGAAAGAACTCTCCAAAAATTTATCTGGAATAAAAAAGACCCCGAATAGCCACAGCAATCCTGAGAAAGAAGAACAAAGTAGGTGGGACCTCAATACCAGATATCAAGCTGCATTACAAAGCTACTTTTCTCAAAACAGCATGGTACTGGCACAAGAACAGACATACAGATCAATGAAATAGAATAGAAAACCCAGAAATTGACCTAAACCACTATGCCCAATTAATATTTTACAAAGGAGGCATGAGCATACAACCGGAGTCAAGACAGTCTCTTCAAAAAATGGTGTTGGAAACTTGGACAGATACATGCAAAAAAATGAAACTAGACCACCAACTTTTACTATATACAAAAAATAAACTCAAAATGGATAAAAGACTTAAACATAAATTGAAAACAATAGAAATATCAGGTGAATCCACAGTCAGCAAAATCTCAGACATATGCCAAAGGAATTTCTTCACTGATACTGCTCCTAAGGCAATAGAAAATTAAGAGAAAATAAACAAATAGGACATCAAAATAAAAATCAAAAGAAACCATCAACAAAACAATAAGAAAGATCATTAAATGGGAGAATATATTTGCCAATGTTATCACCAATAGGGTTTATACTCCAACATTTAAAGAGTACTCATACAACTTAACAAAAGAAAGATAATCCAATCAAGAATTGGGCAACGAACCTAAATAGAAACTTTTTGTAAGAAGACAGAAGGAAGGCCAAGAAACATATAAAAACATGCTTAAAGTCACTAATTATCTGAGAGATGCAAATTAAAATGACAATGAGGTGCCATCTCAGACCTGTCAGAATGACTATAATCAACAAATCACCAAATTAACAAATGACAAGTGCTGGCAAGAATGCAGAGAAAAGGGAACCCTCATGTACTGTTGGTGGGAATGCAAACTGGTGCAACCACTGTAGAGAACAGTATGGAGTTTCCTCAAAACACTAAAAATGGAACTTCCATTTTACCCAGTAATCCCACTTCTAGGAATATATCCCAAGAAGCTAGAAACATCAATTAGAAAGGATATATGCACCCCTATGTTCATAGCAGCACAATTTAGCATAACTAAGATTTGGAAACAGCCTAGGTGCCCATTAGCAGATAAGTGGATTAAAAAACTGTGTTACTTCTACTCAATGGAATTCTATGCTGCACTAAAAAAGAAGGAATTCCTACCATTTGCAACAACATGGATATAGAACTGGAGAGCATTATGCTAAGTGAAATAAGCCAGTTAGAAAAAGATAAATATCACATGATATCACTCATCTATGGGAAATAATGAACATAAACTGATGAACAAAAATAGATCCAGAGACAGGGAAGCATCAATCAGACTGTCAAACTTCAGAGGGAAGTTAGGGGAGTGAGGCGATATGGGAGACAGATCAACCAAAGGACTTACATGCATGCATATAAGCCTAACCAGTGTACACAGACAACAGGGGGCTGAGGGCATGAGTTGGGGGAGATGGGTTGGGAAGGTAAAGGGGGATGAGGATAAATAAGTAATAACTCAATAAAAAAAAGCAAAACAAATAAATAAAATAAAATACCCAGTAAAAAAATAATAATAATAGATGACTGTGTTCTAGACTGTGTTCTAGTTGTTAACAGAGGTGAGCAAAAGCAAAAGAAGGCAAGAACACAGAAACCCCTGGGTTTGAAGATGGGGTTTCCTAACAATCTCAACAAGTATGGGTCATACATATTAAGCCGTCTCTGAAGCACTATGCTAGGGTTATGAGCTGCACCATACATAAGCAAATATATATATAAACATATGAGTAGAAAAGGAGAAATAACATGTAGTGTACTTGGAATCTATCATATAATGAAATGTTTAAATGCTTGTCACAGTATATTGTACTTTAAAGTCTCAGGATGGAAGTAGCAGAGCTTGAATATGACCCATAGTCTGTCTCCTAATTATACCACAGTATAAGGCAAACATGAAAAAATGTATCTAGGTGGTACAGGCAGAGTTTTGCTGGAGATGTGAGATGAAAAGATAATGGGAGTTGGCTTATTTAAATCGCACTGTTCTACTAGAGAAGACAAAAAACACATCTGGCAAAGTTGATGGAGGAATGCTTCATCAGGGTCAAATGTAACTTGAATATAAGTACGATCCCAAAGACAGGTAATGGGAGAAGAGAGTACATCTCCTGTGCTCTGCCCAAATAGGTCTCTCAGTAGGCAGTAGACACTACAGTGTGTGTTTTTCCCTCCACACTGTTGCTTTTTCCTGAATTTGCAAGCCCTCTTACTTCATAGGCTTTGGATATAGGCAAAGACCAGGAAAGCAGCAAAGATGGGTGTTATTTAGCCTGCACATCAGGAAGAATGTTGATAGCCTTAAATGAAATAGAAACTAAAGAAGTAGAGACTGCCTTTTGATAAAGATAAAGAAGTTTCTCATTATTTAAAGCTGAGTGGAGAATATTTAGTATAATATTTAAGGAACTGCTTAAATTGTTTTACACACACAGACACTCTTAGCAAAGCAGTAAGTGGTAAAGGTGTATATTTGAGACTTATTGACACATAAAAGACTTATTGACGCATATTTCAGAGCTAAACACAGAGCCTCAGGAAGCTTGTGCACCGCTGCACAGCATCCAAGATCACCTACATGTTTTTTATCCAACTTATGTTTGCATCACTTACTGACACTGTTCTTGCATGTTCATTTGGTTGGCTTCCTTACTGTTGGCTTTATCTCTACATGTGCTACCTCCTATGAGAAGACCTCTCCTCTTTCAAATTCAATTTCCATCTCTTTCGTTGTCAGTTCAAGCATATACTTAGATGACTTTTGTTTCTTCTTAATTTGTATAACATGTGAAGTCTCTATTATGCTATCTATAAGTATATTATATGGTACAAGTCTTTTAATTCATCCAGCTTGCTTTTAATTAACATTATTATTATTATTATTATTATTATTATTATTATTTTGGAGAAAGGGCTTGCCTATATCTTTGTTTCTCTGTTATAATTTCTCATATCTTTTATGTCCCTCAAATGCAGTACAAAATTGGTACTTTACTAAAGTGCTTGCTGATTGGCTTATTAACCAACATTGATACTGATAAGTTGTTTTATTTGTTTTCCTACCTAGAGCTATGAACTGCTAGTAGACCACAACTGCCATTTTACACTAGAAATTTAGATTTATCAATTTTGGCCACACACTTCTGGAAAAGGAATTTTGGTTCTGAGACTTGTTAGAGTTAACTATTTGACTTGTATAGAAATTAATACATGAACAAGTTATGAATTTATTCTAGTGCCAGTAATTCATGATGACATCACTATTAATAAAGAGCAATCCTATATAATAAAAAGCTAACATGCAAATCAACTGAACAAATTGTCTCTGTGATGCCCTCTGACCATTAGGGGGCAGACACTCAATGCAGAGCTTCCCTCTGTTGGTCAGTGCACTCCCACAGGGGGAGCTCCACTCAGCCAGCAGCCAGGCAGCACAGAGGTGGTGGAAGAAGCCTCTCCCACCTCTGTGGCAGTGCTAAGGATGTCTGACTGCTAGGGAGCAGGCCTAAGCTATCAGTTGGACATCTCCTATGAAGGTCAAGAGGGCACAGGCCAGGCTGAGGGAGACACCTACCCTCCCCAACCCTGGCCGCTGAGTGCACAAATTCAATGCATCGGGCCTCTAGAATAATAAGTAAACACTAAAAATATTTGCAATTATACATTAAATAATTATGTGATTATACAGTTTTATAAATATAATAACAAATAATAGTAATACATATTTACAAATAGACATTAACAAAACCCCAAACAACACATTCCTATTTCCACTTCTGATCTCTCACCAAGAGTAAAATGGCCTATATCAATCAATGGTAAGTCAAATACATAAAAACTCACCAGTAGCCAATTCTTTCCTCACTTTGTAACTGTCTACCACAGGCGTGATGATCCCTTCGATGACTCCAAACATGCTGCTGAGGCCTATATTTATTACCATGAGGAAGAACAACACTGACCAGAAGGGAGATAGAGGGAAATGATCCATTGCTTCTGTAAAGGCAATGAAAGCTAAACCAACTCCCTGGACCTCCTGTAAAATAGACAGAATAGCAAAATGAATACAGAGCAATTTTAAGTGATGGCTACAAACATCAGTTACAAAGACGAGGAACTCTAAATAATGCCTTGGTTGGGGGGGACTGGAAATAAATATGCAGAATCTTATTGTCTCCTAAGGAACTGTGCCTTTCAACTAACAAGTTGATTGTGTTACCTCATAAAGAAAACAAATAAATCATAATTTAAAAACTACAAAATACTTTTAAAGGGTAAGAGAGTAATTGTCTTTCCATACAGAATTCAAGGTTTTTATATTAATGACGAGAGGCCAGGTGCACAAACTCGTGCGTGTGTGGGGGTCCTTCTGCCTGGCCAGCGTTTGGGGCTGATTGAAGCCATCTTGCCTAGTCTCAATCAGTGCCAATGGGGCCCAGCCAGCCAAGGAGGGACACAGGAGCTGGCCAGCTGGGGAGGGACCACTGGGAGGCTCCAGGGCATGTCCAGCCTATCTTGCCCAGCCCTGATTGGCTGGATCCCAGCATAAAGCTAACCTATGAGTCAGAACATCTGCCTCCTGGTGATCAGTATGCATCATCGCGACTAGTCCAACAGTCTACAAAACAGTAGGCCAATTGGTCAGACACTTAGCATATCAGACTTTTATAAATATAGATGGCTTTCTCCATAATTTCCTGCAGGATTCTTTTAATGTTCAGATATATCCTGACGTGTATATCTGACTAACAAGCTCTGTAACAGTTCCACCCCCACCTCACCCCACCCCACCCCACCATGCCACTCCTTGGATGCCTGGCTCAAGGAAGATTGGAAGCAGGGTCCTAGCAGAAAATCACTAGGAGTGAAGAGGGGATGTGAAAAGGTAGATCAGACCCAGCCTGAGACTGTCAGCAGGGCACAGGGGACCAAGGACCACAGTAGCCCTCCTTCCCAAAGCTGCATGCTCTGTGAGAGGGCGGCATGGGATCAGGAAGTGACATAATCATGCCATAGGAGCCCTCAACCCAACAGCTGTGAGTGTCCTTCACTCTGCCGAACAAGGAGTATGTTTTTTTGTTTGTTTTTAAATGTTTCTTTATGTTGAAAGTATTACAAATGTCCCCCCCATTGACCCCTTCAAGCCCACCCACTCCCCTTACCCCCAGCCTTTTGTCTGTGTCCATGGGTTATGCATACATGCATACAAGGTCTTTGGTTCATTAGTTCCCACCCATCCACCTTCCCCTGCCTTCCCTTCCAGATTCTGCACTCTGTTCCATGCTTTTATGTCTCTGGATCCACTTTGTTCATCAGTTTATTTTGTTATTTAGATTCTACATATGAGCAAGATCATCCTGCATATGATTCTTTGTGTTTAAGTCTCAAGTATCTTAAATCAAGTGATGAATGGCAATTTCTCTATGACATTTTATTTTTGACAATCCAAAGATAATGTGACAAGCAATACAAAAATATGTATTAATGTTCACCTATTTTATATTTATTAAAATATATTACACTGGCTAAGAAAAAGAACTTCATCATAACTTGTTGAACACAATTATTAAAATGGCCAACAATCATTAATGTACCAAAATAATCATGCAATATGTGCTAATCATAATACAGTTTTTATATTAAATATTATACAAGGAAATGTATCTGATTTCATTTGATGTGATAAAAATCACTTAATTTATATTCATATTTTAAATTACTGTGGATTAATCAATGCTTTTCAAAGTAAAGGAAACCTTTAATGATTTAAGAAAGTTGTCCTCTGAAATAAAGATTGTGAATTTTGCCAAAACCGGTTTGGCTCAGTGGTAGAGCATCGGTCTGTGGACTGAAAGGTCCTAGTTCGATTCTGGTCAAGGGCATGTATGTTGGTTGTGGGCACATCCCCGGTTGGGGGTGTGCAGGAGGCAGCTGGTCGATGTTTCTCTCTCATCGACATTTCTGGCTCTCTATCTCTCTCCCTTCCTCTCTGTAAAAAAATCAATAAAATATATTTTTAAAAAAATGTGAATTTTAAAACTGTCATGGTCATTTTCCTAGCCAAAAATCTCTTCTGGAGAATAAATATTTTAACTGAATGATACCTATTTTATTGCTTAAACATAGGTACTAACTTTATTTAGCTCATCTTCAACATAACAGGATTGTAGATTAAGAGCAGGAAACTCCTCCCTTTTCGCCCTTTTAATGATGTCATAAACTTCGTGATAACCTTCTGCAGTAATAGCTGAGAAGTTGATGTGAGAGGGAATGATAGCCTGAGAAATGTTGCCCATTTTCAAAAATATGTCAATCATTTTAGTATTTCTGAAAAAGAGAACATGTTAATGAACACTTAAAAATGCTTTTCTTTTCTTTTTGGCGGGGAGGGGGTGTAATTTTTATATAATTGTGCATTTGAAAGCTAAAGATAATAAATATTCATACTCTCCAATGCATCTCTCATTTACAATGTTTGCTTTGAAGCCAAGAACTGCAAACACCACCAATGTGGCCAAGACAGAAGTAAAAAAATTGATTAAGGGCACCAGCATAGCATCAAACTGGCAGTTGTTGTCTTCCTTGTTGTAGCTTGAAAAGGCGATGACACCACCAAATCCCAGGCCGAGTGCTAAGCACACCTGAGTAGCAGCTTCCCTCCAGGCTTGGGGCGCCAGCATTTTCTTAAGCTGTTTAAAATGAAACATAGTAGAAAACAGCTTCAAAATAATATTTCAGAATAATCTACATGGAATTAGTTGTATTGGTTAAATATATCATCATAATATTTAAATCAGGGAGATAATATGTCCTTAATTAGACATAGTTTTTTCCATTTGAAAATGAAACAAGGAATATGAACAAGAAATACTGTAGACTATCAAGCTTACAGATGAAGATGGTACTTACATGGAGATTTTCTATCTACATGGAAAATTAAATTTAAAACAAAAGTATTTGTTTTAAATACTTTAAAACAAATCATCAAAGGACTATTTAAAAGAGAAGTGAACTATTTTCAATTACTTCCTATTTATGTCTTTGTTTTCTATCCAAAGCAAAATAAATCGATTATCAATAAAAGTTAAATAATTACTTAGCTAAAACCCTATTTTGTGTTTTCTGGTGGAAGTCTAATAGTCAAAGCAAATAATAATGATGAGTATGGTAGAGTTAAACTATTTATATTTTTCATATTCACATATGTATTAATTCATATATTATTTCTTTATTCAAATAGACTTCCCTGAAAGCCTTCTTTTCATAATTAGAGAAATGCACCTACAGGGGTAGGCAAAAGTAGGCTCACAGTTGTGAGTATGCAAAACTCAGTTTAATCTTGTGTCATTATATATTAACTAGAGGCCCGGTGCATGAAATTGGTGCACTGGGAGGGGGAGGAGTCCTTCAGCCTGACCTGAACCCTCTCCAATCCGGGAGCCCTGATGGCCTAGGCCCACTCCCCTTGGTTCTCTGCTCTGTGCTGGGCCTGGCTGCACTGCGCCCACTGCCCAGAGGCTCTCCATGGCCAGGGTGAGACACTTGCCTCATTGTGGGCTTGATCCTCAGTTGGGGGTGTGCAGGAGGCAGCTGACCGGGGATTCTCTCTCACTGGTGATGTTTTTGTCTCTCCCACTCCCTTCCTCTTAGAAATAAAAAAAAATACATTAAATTTTAAAAGAGAAAAATGAATAAAACAAAGCAAAAAACAGCCATTCTCTGGATCATTGTCCCAACCCCTTGAGATTCTGCTTCCTGGCAAGTGTGGACAGTTTGGCTCAAGTAAACTCATAAAAGTTGTCTACTGGTTTGAATGTTTTTACATGAACATGGCGTATACACCTGCTGGTTTCTGAGGGTGATGCAACAGAATCAGCCCATGAGGTCTGCTGTGAAACTGTAGAGGAGTCTGTTTTTGCAGTCAAAAGCCAGGTCACCCTTAGAAAGAGTGCAGAAAACCAGAAATGGGATTTTCAAAGAGAAAACAGACAGAAGTGAACAGAGGGATGCTCCAGTACACTTTTCCACCCAGATAGGCCAGTTCTCAAACATCCTCCCTCCCAGAAGTTGGTGAGCTGTGGCCTAAGGGTGGGGCATTTGAGAAGCCTGAGGTGAGGTCCCATGCTCTGATTTTCAATGAAGGAGAGCTCTGATTTTGAATGAGGAGAGCTCTCTGCATTTGAATGAAGCCTTGGAGTGAGATCCTTTGGAATGAATAGCCCTGATCTCCTCTTCCCTAGCTTACTCCCTACCCACCCCCTACTCCCAGAGCCCAGGATCTGTCTGCTCCCAGCTGCCTCCCCCAAACATTCCAGCACAGGTGGATCCGAGAGAGTGGGCACAGCTCCCCACAGCAGCACCCAGCTCCAGAGGGTGCCAGCGCCCTGCAGCCTGTGGTGCTGTGGTCCCAGGACAGTAACACCCAGCAATGGCAGATCCTCAGCCTCCCTTCAGACACAGGAGGAAAGACAATCTAAGCAACAAGCCTGATGGACACCCGGGAGGGATGTGGCCGAGCTTGCATGTAGAAGGCCACGCATGCGTGCTGCCCAGAGGCCATACGCGGCAGGGGTGGAAGGCTTGCCTTGTTGCAAGCATTGCACCAGGCCGCTCACACTGCCCACTCTCAAAGCTACCCCCCAGGACTTGGGGTCTGAGGGCACTGGGTGTAGCCATCTTTGAGATGAAGTGATGGTTAATTTGCATATTACCTTTTTATTAGATAGGACTATTGTATTATTCACTTGTCTTATTATTATTATTGCTATCATTTCAGATCCCTACTTATGATTTACTTTTTAAGTAAAATTGGCTGGTAAATTAAACCTACTTCTGCCCACACCTCATATCATATCTAAGACTCCCTCAGATCCAAAGATCTGAAGTTCTGAATCTGTGCTGAGCATGTATTTCAAGTAATTCTGCTTTACTTCTTAAATAATTATCAAACCTTTCAAATGGAACAATTAAAATTAGACATTTATGCCAAAGACCACAATAAATAGTTAAATTACAATAGATTTTAGCAACAGTAGTGTTTTTAACTGGCATTTTGCCTTTTTTTTTTTTTTTCAATTGGGATGAAACTGCATTTTGTGGGAGCAATCCAAATATAGGTAAGAACATGAGGTTCATAGACAGTTTCAGGTTCTGCCACTGAATAACCCAAATAATCTGAGTAGTGCCCCCTAGGGTAAATGGCCTGTCCTTACTATTGCTGCTTCCTCAACTGAATATGAGAGTAATAAGAAATACAACTTGCCACATTGCCTACCACATTCTCACTGCTCAACAACTGCTAACATATATAGACTACAGTGGCAGGCACATTGATGAGCACTTTATATATATTATCTGATTTAATATTTACAATAATCTATGAAATTGTTGCTGTTATTATCTACATGTTCAAAAGGTTAAGGAACCTGCCTAAGGTTGCACAGAAGTTCTGGGGTGGAACAGAAATGTGAACACACTCAGAGACGACAAAATCCATGGTTCTCTCAAATATTAGAATTTATTGCTCAATTAATTTTAGTTATTATTATTAAGATTTACGGATTTTTCATAACCGAATAATTACTATATTTATAATGTATGTATAATTAACTGAGGTATACATAATGTTTACTGACCATTGTTATCTTGCTATTGATAATTCTGTGTTGATCTATTAAAATGCTACAATCAACTGCCTATCTCCACTTCGCCCACTAGGTGGCAGAAAGCACTTATTTACTAAGGACATTATTCAGATTGCTATACTTCTAATTCAGGAACTAAATCTCCATTCACAGTTTAAAGAATATTTCATGTGTTTAGGTGCTTTTTCCTTATACAAGCAATGTAAATTAAAATTAATTAATACCTTCTTGTTCTTTTTATATCAACTATCACCCTTACAGTGAACTAACACAGAATCTTATCTACAGTCAATGAAAAGTGAGCTGAACAAAGAATTAACTGTATTTTAAGGTAATCCATAGACTTGCTTTAGAATGTTAATAATGCTGTAGACTTGAATATAGGGTCCATGTAAAAAGTTCCATAACTAAGTGTTTAAATTCCCAAATATCTATTTAAATCAAATATTTAGAATTATGTCTCAAGCAATTGCCAACTTAGAAAAAGTTGAAATGCCAGAAATTCATACCAAAGCTAGTTAGTTGTTTTAAACTTAGGACACTTTTCTTTTTTAATAGTATAAATAATTTTGGTCCCTAAGGTGTATCCCATTTGAAGGTGATTTGCATTATACTGTAGCTAAAACTGACGAATCTTAACTAGTTACTCAGTAAAGTGTCCCAACAATGATAATGTCAAACAGGACTTACGAACCACTCAAGAACACCAGAGACCAATGTCAATATTTTCGCTACTAGAGAATGAATACCAAGTTAGAACCAGATACCTAAAAATTACAGCCCCTTTTACACAGTATCAAAGCAGCTACAACACTGACAAATATTCTAGGGAAACTAGTATCTTCTGCCCAAATCTCACACCATGATCATTCTTCAAATAACTTCCAATTGCTGACCTAAATTTGAAATTGTATTTTAATAACTCAGTATCTGCCTTAAATAGTATTATCAAAGTAGTAGTGAGGTATAAGTTCATTTCAGTGACTAACCAAGTAAACATACGTCTCAAAACTTGATTTCCTTTTCTGTCAAATCAAAATAATGGGTCCACAAAGATTGCTGTGCATGTTCAATGTGCCCAGCATTGAGTTCAGGTCTAAGTTAAATGACAGAGCATAATGAGGTGCTGAGCCTTTTATGAAATCAAATGAGAATTTTCCTAAAATGTACATTTATTTACAAAAGTTACAGAACTTCTCAAACTCACCAGGTAAATATTATTTTAGAAAGTATAAAATCTCAAAACAATACAAGATTGATTTTCTCTGAGAAGGGATTTAACCTGGGTCCATGGATTGTGTATGTTTTGTCCACCTCCTGAGACACTAAGCAAATAAATATGTTTTCTGGTAAGAAGTTTCTATTATTGTTTTTTTTAAAGGGGTCTATGCCATAAAATGTTAAGAACCCACTGAAATAGGAGAAAAATAAAGATTGAAAAGTTCTAAAATTTACAAGTGTAAAAATTGGAAGTTAATCTAATATAAAAGAGAAATTATTAAAGTTTCAATAGTGACAGCCTTAATGTAGAACTAAAATGGTACATTTAAAATTGGAGCTAGATAGAGATAATTGAAAATAAAGCTCTGGTTTATCTAGGCTAGATAACATAACAGCTATACTTTGAAAGCCTAATGTGTGTGTGTGTGTGTGTGTGTGTGTGTGCGTGCGTGCGTGCGTGCGTGTGTGTGTGTGTGTGTGTATAAGAACAATTATCCTTGGAATCAAACTGTGGGAAAATTTTAACAACAAACATAATGCTTTCAAGATCATAAATCTTAAATACAAACAAAGTACATACCTGAGGGGTAAACATATGGCGGATGCCATAAAGTGAACCTTTTAGAAAGAGTGCTCTGAATAGGAAACATATAAGTACCACATATGGAGTCAGAGTAATAAAATACACAATCTGCAAAGAAAAAAGAAACAAAAATAAGTGAGACATATTCTTGTTTATAGTTCAGATTGTGCTCTGTTCTATACTTTGGCAGTTACTATTTTTATATGGTTAATAAATTGATTAATAATTTGTATAGCCATCTTAGAATGGCTGATTAGTCTTGATTTAATGACTTACAGGTCTTGTTTGAGATATACTAAGAAATAAGAAATTTCTACTCAGTCTCCTTTACAATGGTCTAGAGATATTGTGTAAGTTGAATAGAGTAGATTCCTTATAGTTTATACTAGAGGCCCAGTGCTCAAAATTTGTGCCCAGGGGATTTGTCCCTTAGCCTAGCTGGTACCCACTCCAATCTGAGACCCCCCGAAGGATGTCTGACTGCCTGTTTAGGCCCCATCTGGGATGGGGCCTAAACAGGCAGTCAGACATCCCTGTCATAATCCAGGTCTGCTGGTTCCCAACTGCTCACCTGCCTGCTTTTCTGATTACTCCTAACTGCTTCTGCCTGCCAGCCTGTTCACCCCCTAACCAATCTCCTGCCAGCCTGATTGCCCCTAACTGCCATTCCCTAAAGGCCTGGTCACACCTAACTGCCCCCCCCTGCAGGACTGGTCACCTCTAACTGCCTTCCCCTGAAGGTCAGGTCCCCCCATTTCTCCCTGTTGGAGGCCTCGGTCCCCACCCAACTGCCCTTCCCTGCAGGCCTGGTCACCCCCAACTTCCCTCCTCTGCTGGCCTGGTCACCCCTAACTGCCCTTCTCTGCAGGCCTGGTCACCCCCAACTTCCCTCCTTTGCTGGCCTGGTCACCCCTAACTGCCCTTCCCTGCAGGCTTGATCACTCCTAATTGCACTCCCTTGCAGGCCAGGTCCCTCCCAACTGCCCTCCCCTGCTGGCCATCTTGTGGTGGCCATCTAGTGTCCATCCACATGGGGGCAGTCATCTTGTTTGTTAGAGTGATAGTCAATTTGCATATTACTCTTTTATTAGATAGGAAAATAAACAATATTTAAGAAAAATAAATAGGCACTAATTCCCTTTAAAATTCCTACTTTATTGTTTTAGATTAAAAATAACATTTTTTTTTCCATTAACCAAACTTTCACTATGATTCTATCTAGCTTCTGGACTAGAGAATGATCCCTTTTAAATCTTCCAAGGAACTTAAACAAAAAACCATCTGCTTCAGACGTTTTGCTTTAAGTTAAGCAAATGTTTTTTACATAAAAATAATATCCTATCCAGACATTTACTTCACCCTTGATATCTCCAGGGGGAAGCCTAGTAGGTCTCTAAAATTTTTCAGATTCAGAAGGTAACTTCTCAATTTTCCCAAGACCCATCCTCACTCACTTCCATCTAAGTAAATGGCACCCCATCCATCCAATGGCTGAAGTTAAAGGTTCAGAAGTAGTCCTGCACTTTTTGTAATATTTTCCTAACTAGTTTCAGGTGTTTAACCAGAGATGACTTGGATTAGTTCATCCCCTGCTTAGCATATCCCCTAACCACTTTGAATACAGTTGAAATAAAATCACAGTTCTTCCCTTGGACCTACAAAGTCTTACACCAGAGCCCTCACTGCCTGCCCCACCACTCACTCCCCACTGAACTCTAGCCCCCAGGCCCTGTTACCTGTCCTAAGACCAAGCTCTTCAAGCTTGGGGCCAGAGCAGGGTTGCAGTCACTTCCTTTATATGCACAGGAGTTTTCTCCTTGTTATTTATGCCTCAACTTTATCTTTTCCAGGAAGTCTGCTCAGACCAATCTCAAACAGCTGTGTTTTTTTCCATCCAATATCCCTAACTGCCCTCCCCTACATCCCATTTACCATCTGTGACAATATCTTGTTTTGTTTATTTATAGCACTCAGCATTGTTGAAATTGTTTCATGTCTGCTTGTTAATTTCCAGTCTCTCTTACTTGATTATAAGCTCTGTGAGGTCAGGGGCCTTTTATCTCCTGTTAACTGTCATAACCCAAACACCTAATGTAATTGCTGGCACATAGAAGCTGTACAATATGTATCTGTGGAGGGAAAGAATGGAGGGGATGGTGGGAAGAATGGAGGAGAAACCTGGGTAGGGCAGGTAAGAAATATTGAATCCAATAATAACTATAGACAAATAACGTTCAAGTCAATATTGTAATTTGTACTTCTACAGTTCTACCCATTGTTATTTAATTGCATTTATTTTTTATTACTTTTAAATTGTATATATTATTTTTAGAAATTGCATTTAATTTCACTTATATTTACATGCATAGGGAATACCCTAAGAAAAAAATTATCTACCTAATAAAATAGCAACATGATAATTGACTATACCTTCATGATTCCCACCACTCAATCAGGAGTGAGCATGAAAATTAACTCATCAAATATGGAGGGTTAATTTGCACACACAGGCATTCTGCACCACCCCAGCCTCTCTGGGCCTCTGGGCAGCATGAGAAGGCAGAAAGGTGGCTCTGGCCAGAACAAAGGTGCTGCTAGCAGCCTGGGAAATGAAGGCCCATTTTTGCATGAATCTTTGTGCATTGGGCCTCTAGTCTATAGGGTAGTATGCTAATTAGACCGGACATCTTCTAGACATCCTTCTGGACAAAGCCACAGTGGCTTGGGCTAAGGCAGAGGCAGTTAGGGGGTGATCAGGCCAGCAGGGGAGCACTTAGGGGGCAATTATGCTGGCAGGGGGGAAGTTATGGGTGGCCAGAGTGGCAGGGGGGGGCAGTTACAGGGGCAAACAGGCTGGCAGAGGGGCAGTTAGGGGGTGGCCAAGCCAGCAAGCAGAGACAGTTAAGGGTGATCAGGAAAGCAGGGAGACAGGCCAGTGGTTAGGAACCAGCAGTCCCAGGTTGTGAGAGATTTGTTCAACTGCAGGATTGGGCCTAAAATGGCAGTTGTACAACCCTAAAAAGGTGCCGGATTGGAAAAGGTGCAGGCCAAACTGAGGGACACCCCTCCCTGTGAAAGAATTTTGTGTACTTGGCCTCTAGTATATGATAAAAGCATAATATGCTAATTAGACCAGTCAGCTGAACGATCTTCTGAATGTCATTCCAGATGTCCTTTTGGATGAAGCTGTGGCAGGGGTGGAGAGAGGAGATTAGGCAAGTAAGTGAGAAGTTAGGGGCGATCAAGCAGACAGGAAGAGGGGCTGGGAGCGATCAGCAGGCAGGAACATCGTTAGGGGTGATCAACAGGTAGGCAAGTTGTTAAGGGCAATCAGGCAGATAGGTGAGCTGTTACAAGCGATCAGGCAGGCAGGTGAGCAGTTAGGGGTGATCAGGGAGGCAGGCAGAGGGGTTAGGGGTGATAGGCAGGCAGACAAGCAGTTAGGCATGACCAGGCAGGCAGGCAGAGGGATTAGGGGTGATCAGATAGGTAGGCAGGCAAGCAATTAAAAGCTGGCAGTCCCAGATAGTGAGAGGGATGTCCTAAAATAGCTGTCAGACACCCCCTGAGTTGTTCCAGATTGTGAGAGGGTGCAGACCAGGCTGAGAGACCCCCCACCTTGTGCACAAATTTTGTGCACTGGGCCTCTAGTTCTATATAATAAAATGCTAATATGCAAATCAACCAAACAGCAGAACAGCTGGTTGCTATGATGTGTGCTGATCACCAGAGGGCAGAAGCTCAACACAGGATCTGCCCTTGGTGGTCAATATGCTCCCACAGGGGGAGCACTGCTCAGCCAGAAGCCAGGCTCTTGGCTGACAAGCACAGCAGTGGTGGCGGGATCCTCTTCCGCCTCTGTGGCAGTGCTAAGGACCCCTCAGGGTCCTGGACTGGGAGAGGTCCCAGGCTGGTCTGACGGATCCCTTTACCCCCTTAGTGCGCAAATGTCACACACCAGGCTTCCAGTTATGAATAAACTCTCAACATACTTAAAAATAAATATTTAAATTTAATTAGTTATAATAAAGCATAATTTTATAATTATTTCAAATTGGTTTAATTCCCTAATTCCTTGAGATCAGAATGCCTTCAGATGGAGTACTTTTTCTTATTTTTCTTGCCTACTTTTAGCATTCTTTAAATTTGCCAGTTTATGTATCTACTTTAGTCTTGATCTCACTTGAATTAAAGCTCTTCTTTTTAATGACTTTTCTTCACAAATCTTAATGCTAGCCAAAAGTAAGAATTTACTTTGCAAAAGAGTTTTTTTTTTAACAGAACTCAAATTTGCTGCCTCACTAATATCATTAATTCAACTTATTTTATTTTTTTCTCTGTTTAATGTGCTCTTTATCAAGTTACTTTAAAAGTGAAACTGAAAGCTACATAATAAAGTAGTCTGAATAGGTGATTTTTTTTTAATAACTGTGACACATTATCAGCGTGTTCTTAATATAACTGAAAACTAGAGACTAAGAGAAAAAATGACTATTCTTGTACTTTTATTTTTCCAGGCTAATCAAACCCATAATAATTCCCTCTTGCCTATGTTCTATAACCAACACATCATGCAAAATTATTGATTCTACCACTGAATTCAGACATATATCTCATTATTTCCATCAGTTGGAATACTTTCCTGGTTATCTAACCTCCAGATTTTTTCCTTCATTCCTGAAATCCATCAACTATACTAGAATGATCTCTCTAAAGATTTCTCTCTAAAGATTTGATGGTGTCAATGCACAGCTAAAGATTCTCAAATGGTCTACATTGTTTATTATGTAACAGCCAATCATTCTAACAGTCCATTTGCTGTTAGAATGTAAGTCAACTTACATTTCAAGTTTCATCTCTCAAGAGCTGCACAAGTTGTATGTAAAAGTCACAAAGATATCTGTACTCAGCAATCTTTGTGCTTTGTACATGCTGTTTTCCATGCATCCATTATTTTTTCACCTGAAACACATACTCTAGCCCCAAAGTTACCTTCTCTATGAAAATGTCCCCCAAATCCATGTTAATTTCAGTAACTACCTCTAAATTTTGAATTTTTTGTTAATTTGAAAGAGAGAGAGGGAAGGAGGAAGGGAGGGAGGGAGGGAGGGAGGGAGGGAGGGAGGGAGGGAGGGAGAGAGAGAGAGAGAGAGAGAGAGAGAGAGAAATTTATTGTTCAACTTATTTATGCAGTCATTTGTTTCATTCTTTTTTAAAACTTTTATTTATTGGTTTGAAAGAGTGAGAAAGAAGTCAATTTATTGTTGTTCCACTTATTTATGCATTCATTGATTGATTGATTTTTGTATGTGCCCTGACAGGGGATTGAATCCACAACCTTGGCATATTGGGATATCATTCTAAACCAACTGAGCTACCGGGCAATGGCCTATCATGTATATTTTTATATTCCTCTATTATTGCATTTATTCTGTTCTAATTATCTATCTCACCCATTAAATTATGGGTTCCATGAGGACAAAACTGTGCCCTATTCATATTTTCATAGTCATTAATTCATAATATATAATAAATACTCAAAAATTGTATAGAATTTATACAAAGTTAAGTTTTCCTTTATGCATACATTTCTGAAAAAGTAAACTCATCTTTATTCTGAAGTACTTTTAAAATTAAGAACTAATTATATTGTCAGAATCATTTCAATTTTCATTTACCATTTCAAGAAGTATTTGAGTTCTTAAAGACCCTGATTTGTATTCAATGTAAAGACTCTAGCACAGCTTCCTAAAAGGAACAATAAAACTTTATACTTAGCCCTGGCTATTTTGGCTCAGTGGATAGAAGGTTGGCATGTGAACCAAAAGGTACCAGGTTCGATTCTGGTTAAGGGCAATTGGTCCAACATGCAAGAGGTAGCCGATCAATGATTCCCTCTTATCATTGATGCCTCTATCTCTCCCTTACTCTCTGAAATCAATAAAAATATATTTTTAAAAACTACATTTAATGTGACACGGAAAAAAAATAATGGCCCAAAATTTAAAAGCTAAAGTAGTATTAAGTAGTTCAGAGATAAAACACACACACTCACACACACACACACACCACACACAACATTAATTATTAAATTCTGAGATTTAAGATAAATTCTAAGCCAGCTCTTTACAGGAGTGGGGTGTCTGGATGGTGTTTTTAAAGTCAAATTATTTATCTTTAATCATATGGGTATAATCTTATCATACAACATATTTGCCTACTATTATTAAAAATAGGTTAATCTACCTCATCATATGTAAAAATCTACACTTTCTCCTTATAACACTTTATTTTATGCTTTGCTAAATGAAATTGTTTCAAATATGTTTATTGTCTTCCTCTGCCACTAGTCTGGAAATTTCATGAGGACAAGTGTTTTGTCTGCTTTGTTCATCTCTCTATCTCCAGAACAAGCTCAGTGCCTGGTACATAGTAGGTGCTCAATCAATATATACGTATTAAATGATTGGATGAATGATTGACTACCTCTTCCAGAAAATAAACACTTTGTAGAACTGAGAAATGAAATCGTGAAATATGATTCTTTGGTAAGTATGCAAATTAACCCAACCAAGATGGCTGCAAATAGGAGGCTTGGGTTTCCTCTGGCGATAGAGGAAGCCAAGCTTTCCACACACACTGGCCAGCTCAAGCTTCCAGTCAAGGCTAGAAAGTTTCAATTATAGAAGATAAATAAATCCCAGATCCCAGGGCCTCTGCTTGGGTCACCAGGGGGCATGGATAGTTGCAAAGCACAACAGGCTCCTTGCCCAGGCAGCCCCATGCCCCAGGGAACTCCCACCCTGATCTGGAACATCCTTCAGGGCAAACCAGTTGGCTCCCACCCATGCACCAGGCATCTATCCTATCTAATAAAAATATGCAAATTGACCATCACTCCAACACACAAAATTGGCTGTCCCAATGGCTGACACAAGATGACCACCACAAGATGGCCAGCAGTGGAGGTCAGTTGGAAGGGACCAGGCCTGAAAGAGAGGACAGTTGGGGGCAAGCAAGCCTGAAGGGGAGGGCAATTAGGGGTGATCAGGCCTGCTGGGAAGGGCAGTTATGGGCAAAAAGGCTGGCAGGGGAGTGGTTAGAGGGAGATCAGGCTGGCAGGCAGAAGTGGTTATGTGCAATCAGGAAGTCAGGCAAGTGAACAGTTTGGAAGCCAGCAGTCCTGGATTGTGAGAGGGATGTCTGACTGCCTCTCATAATCCAGGGCAGTTGGACATCCCTCAAGGGGCCCCAGATTGGAGAGCTTGCAGGCTGGCCTGAGAGACACACACCCCCATTCACAAATTTCATACACTGGGCCTCTAGTCCTATCTAATAAAGAGGAAATATACTAATTGATCGTCAAAGGATGATGGACCCACAGCCAAAAAAGAGAAAATATGCTAATTGACTACCACACCCTTAAAGTTGGCTGTGCCCACACCACAAGAAGTTGGCATCCAGTCCCCTCAGCCATACTGGGGTGCCTGCCTCCAGAGTCCCCCAGTCTTCTCAGCCTCCCAGCCACCCAGGGCCAGCCCGAGGTGCAGGCAAGCCTTGGGTGGTGGCAGTGAGAGGCATTGTAAAATTGCAATTAAATAATGTGGGCTCTACATTTAGACAAGAGCTAGGTGTAACTCCAGGTAGCAATTATCGATACTAGCCATGATTCTTTGGGCAAATTATGTGATTTCTCAAAATTGCTTTATATATGTAAAGAAGGTCTGAGAATAGTAATTAATTCTTACAATTTTCTTTAGAATTCAATGGGATAAAATATATAATGTACCTATCACATTTCCTAGAGCAAAAAGCACTTGCAATAAATATTGGCTTCTGTTATTGTTCTTGCTCTGATCATTGTGGGAGTCACCTTCACCTTCATCATTTATTACTACTACTTCTATTATCTCCACTTCTACTGGTATATGCTGGTGATTGGTAATATATTAGCTTGGAAAGATATATAATCTGATCTATGATTTAGAAAGAAAAAAGAATAGTAGAGATGGATTATTAAAGGCAAAGAAGACTCAGTAATAAATTCTTGCTATGGCCCAGCCAGGAGATATGAGAGCATTAAAACAATTACGGTAATAATGAAAAAATGCAATATAAAACCAAAACAGTGAATAATAATTACTTTCCTAATGTATTTATTTAAAAAAAAGAATTTGAAGTTTCTAGGATTCACTTAATGTCTTTTTCAACCACAGTCATTTAACATTTTCCATTTGCCCTAGAAGGCATGCCCTTTAGTCTTTTACATTTACTCTGAGTGTGTTGTGGAGATTATCATAGCTACCTAGTGCTGCTCAGATCTTTAAGAAGCCTTCCACACTAGAGACTATATTAAAATACCTTATGTAAGCATTCCTTAGAATAACTACAATAGAGAAAAATAATTGATATAAGACAACTAAAATGAAAAATTTCTTTATTCTACCACTTTCCCCAATTTCCAATTTTGGAACTAATTGATAATCAGAGAACCAAAATATTATGGTAAACTCAATAAATAGGGGGGGGGGGGAATTATATTGACAACAATTTTCAAAACTCTTGATGAAATAAGAAAAGATCATACATTTCTTTATATTTCGGTATAAAATACTTATCTCTTTGCTTATGTCATTTTATTAATGTAAACATCATAAAAGCACCATTTTTTAATCAATCTTTAACTACGTAGAATGAAGCACTACTTGCAGTTTGCCCACAGAGACTACAGAATCAGGAGAGTCTCTAAGATACTAACTTTTACAGAAGACTGAATGCCTTTGATCATAGCAAAGCAAACCAGGGACCAGGCAACCAGCAAGCTGATGGTCATCTTCCAGTTTAAGCCCCCACTTTCAGAAATGGAACCAGAAACATCCAACGCTTTTCTGTACCAGTAATAGGTGGTGGCAGAACTTTTTTCACATTCTGGCTCTACCACTGTAGAAAAAAAAGATAACACAATAATTTCAGTTTATAAAGAGTAATAAGAATTTTTTCCCCAATAAGCCTATAAATCAATTCTCAACATTTCCTAGGAAAGTATTACTATTCTACAGAAGCATTTAAATTCACAATAAAAACTCAACTGCAAAAAGTGGAATGTCAACAGACATGTATCCTCTTTGATATTTCTTCTCACACATTTATTAATAAAAACACATGAGCTTTTTATCAAAGTAATTAAAACATATAAAATTTATAGTCCCTGAAAAAACCAAGATGGCGGCTTATGTAAATGCCTAGCTGCAGCCTCACACAATAATTTCAAATAGTACAACTAAAATATAAAGTGGACATTATCCAGAACTACAGGAAAGTAGACTGACTGGAAATTCTACAACTAGAAGGAAAGAGAAAACCAGAAGGAAAATCAGAGGAGCTGTAAAAGCCTAAGGTACGGAGACACAGTCTGCACTTGGGGAGAGAATGGAGCTGGAGAGGAGGGGATGGGGCTGAGTGCCTGGCTGGTGTTCCCTAGCAGGAAGGAGATAAAAGCTCCGGGCTGTGCTGAACCCCAGTTCCGACTGCACTGAACCCCAGTTCTGGGTGAGACCTGGGGTCCCAGGCTCATACAGAGGGATTCTAGGCTGTAAGGCACAAACTCAGGGGAGCCGCAAAAGGCAGAGTCCCGGAGTCGTGCACATTTCGTGCAGAGGACAGACTGTTGACTGTGCCACTGGATTGCCCTAGTGGGAAGGAGACAAAAGCTCTGGACTACACTGAACCCCACTTCCAACTGCACTGAACCCCAATTCCGGGCTCATAGGGGGAGAGACTAGACTATCTGGTAGTGGGTGAAACTCAAGGGCACCTTTCTCTCAGAGGTGTTTGCAGTGAGTACCAAAGCACCTAGTACCAAAGGACACTAAGGAAAAATGAGACTCAGGAACCTCATAGGGCGGGGCTGACAGGAAGCCAAGACTGTAGGCTCCACTCTGAAATTCCGCCCCATCCAAGATGAGCACAGAGGCTTTTGAATAAGGCTGTCTCCTGGCATAGACACAGCTGATCCTTGCCGCCAATTGGACTGGAGGTCAATTCCTCCTAGTGATACCAACAACAATTAAGACTTAACTACAAAAGGCTGTACACACAATCCACAAAGGGGTGCAACAGAGTGTCCACCTCAGATTACAGGGAGGCTGACCCACTGAACCATATAGGACACCTTAACACACAAAGCCACCCTATCAACTCAGGGAAGCTGCGAAAATGCAGAGAGAAGGAAAGAGATCACAAACGAAAGAAATGGAGGGCAAAAAGCGACTGGATATAGAGTTCAAAACCATGCTTATAAGGTTTTTTAAGAATTTCCTAGAAAAGACCGATCAAATAAATGAGACCTATGAGGATATGAAAAGGGATCAACTAGAGATAAAGAATACAATGTCTGAAATAAAATATATTATACAGAGTCCTAAAAACAGGATGGAAGATTGCAAGAATCAAGTCAAAGATTTAGAACACAAAGAGCCAGAGGACACTCCTCTGCAGAAACAAGAAGACAAGAGAATCCAGAAAGTTGAAGATAGTGAAGAAAGCTTTGGGACAACTTCAAGCGAATCAACATCAGAATTATAGGCGTCCCAGAAGATGAGAGAGAGCAAGATACCAAAAACATATTGAAAGAAATAGTGAAAGAAAACTTCCCCTACCTGGTGAAAGAAATAGACTTACAAGTACAGGAAGTGCACAGAACCCCAAACAAAAGGAACCCAAAGAGGGCCACACCAAGACACATCATAATTAAAATTCCAAGAGCTAAAGACATAGAGAGAATATTAAAAGCAGCAAGAGAAAAGCAGGTAGTTACCTATAAAGGAGCACCCATACGATTGTCAGCTAATTTCTCAACAGAAACCATGCAGGCCAGACAGGAATGGCAAGAAATATTCAAGGTGATGAATAGCAGGAACCTACAGCCAAAAATACTCTGCCCAGCAAAGCTATCACTCAGAATCGAAGGCCAGATAAAGTGCTTCACAAATAAAAAAAAAGCTAAAGGAGTTCATCACCGCCAAACCAGAATTATATGAATTGCTGAAGGGGGTTCTTTAGGAAGAGGAAGAACATAAAGATAAAAATTATGAACAACAAATTATGAACAACTATCAACAAGTGAATCTAAAAACCAAGGGAATTAAGAAACCTGATGAATAATATTAACTGTTAAATATAATAGAATCAGAGGTATGGAAGGGGAGTGGACTGATGATTCTTGGAGAATACGGGAGGGGGGGTGGAGGAAGAGACTGAACATAAACTGTGCACCAATGGATGAGGACAATGGGGAGTGGGGAAAGGACAGAGGGTGGGGTGGGTACCTGGTGGAGGGGAGCAATGGAGGGGGAAAAATGAGGAACTTTTGTAATAATATGAACAATAAAGATTGATTTTTTTTTTTAAATGTATAGTCCCTTCCACTCCCAGAATTATCTTATTGGGGCACAGCTGTCAAAAGCACTGGCAGCTGATCATATGTGACTTTTGCAATAAGCTAGCCCAAAATGACCTATGTTGTAATACACAATACAAAGAGAATTTTGGAGACTTAGTATGATAAATAGAATGCAGATTATTACATTAATAATTTTATATTAATTATATGTTGAAATGTTAACATTTTGGATACATAGGATTAAATAAAATATTTCACCTGTTTATTTTTAAATTGTGATTACAAGAAAATTTTAGGCATATTTTATATTTACTGGACATCACTATAAGGAAATATTCTTTATTATATTCTGAGATATAAAAAATAAATGATAGAAAAACTATGAAATAAAAACAATTTCTTCAATAGAACTTTTTTGTCCTTTGTTTTCTTTTAACAAAAACTATAAAGCATTAAAAGAGTTGTTCAGCCGAAACTGGTTTGGCTCAGTGGTAGAGTGTCAGTCTGCGGACTGAAAGGTCCCGGGTTCGATTCTGGTCAAGGGCATGTACATTGGCAGCTGGTGGATGTTTCTCTCTCATCGACGTTTCTGGCTCTCTGTCTCTCTCCCTTCCTCTCTGTAAAAAATCAATAAAATATATTTTTTTAAAAAAAGAGTTGTACAAAATTAAAGACTGTCAAAGTTAATCATATTTCACCTAAAATCATGGGGCACAACAAAAGGACTTGAGAAGGAGAATGTAGTCAATAATATTGTGACAGGTTTGCACAATAACGGATGATTACTAGAATTAGTGGGTTATTACATAGTAACTTACAGAGAGTCACCACATTGTACACCTGAGAGTAATATATTATCCACCAATGATACTTAACTGAGAAGAGGTAACTTGGGAAGAGCTAGTAAACTTAGATGGTGCCCAAGTTCTATCTCTGAGTATGGCAATTCTAAATGTGAGGAAAATTGTTATGATAATAATTTTTTCTACATTATTTTTTAAAATCTTGAACACTCATTTCTTTTCCAACTTTATAATCATCATTAAATATAAAAACATTATTATATTGTCCATGTCTTACAAGTATGTGTAGCATTTTTCACCAAAGGACACTGATGCCAAGGTAGAGGATACTGAAAAGACTGAGAAAAATAAAACACACTCCAGCCAATGATGACATTGTAGTAGAGACCCACAAAGAAGCTCACCTGCAAAATAAAATAATATGATTACATTAAACCTCTGGTGCTCCTTCATTTGAAACAATGAGATGATATGTGACCCCATTTAACATTTTAAAAATCTCATTCATTTTATTTTCATTTAAAACACAATATCTCTTCTAAAAAAAAAAAAAGATCTCTCACAGTCTTAAGAACATGCATTAATTAGATTGAACTATTTTAATATATTTCACCTTGATTTGTATATTAGTAAAAGCTCCTATAGTGTTTTTTCCATTTTTTTTATTAAGATATTATATGTGTACATTGTGTTTTTAAAAAAGATAATCAAACAGTTGAGTAGAAATACACAGTCAACTATTTTATTTAAATACAAATAATATAAATCCAAGCATCATAAAAATTATATGGCATATAGTATATCAGGCAACTTACAAAACAACTTGCAAATCCAATACCACCCAATTTAGGGCTTATGTAATTCCACACACCGATGCTTCCTTGCCGAATTCTTTGCCCCACAGCAAGTTCCAGAAAAAAAAGTGGAATACCTATTATCATAAGCAATACAAGAAAGGGCAAAAGATATGCACCTACAGAGACAAGAACAAATAAAATACATTATATGTTTAACAGTAGAGAATACACTAATTCTCATTATCTCATAAAAGATTATATTTGAACTTCTATATATAATAAGTATAAAGGACTTTTAAAAAATGAAATTTTATTACTTTAAACTTTCTAGTATTTGAAACCTCAATTTGACTTTTACAAAGAATTTCAGATAAAAAAAATAATTATGGTAAAAATATCAATGAATAGTTTGGTTTCATTTTAATGAAAAGGTAAACAACTTAATTTTTCATAAAAAATAATTGACTCCTTAATATTAATTATTTTCTCAAGTAGGTTTCACAAACTCGTGAATTTTTTTTTTAAATATATTTTATTGGTTTCAGTGAGGAAGAGAGAGGGAGAGAGATATAAACATCAATGATGCATGTCCCCCACTGGGGACTGAGTCTGCATCCTGGGCATGTGCCCTAACCAGGGATGAAATCATGACCTCTTGTTTCACAGGATGACACTCAAACACCATGCCACACGGACCAGGCATCATGGAAATCTTATTCACACAATGGTTATGAAGGACTTTATTAAATTTTATTCATATTCATCTATGGATATAAATCATGTACTGCAAATCAGATAAATTAAAATGAATGAAATTTTATGTTACTAAAATATTCTTAAGTAACAGTAAAGAAGAAATGTTGCTTCAACTAAAAATGTAAAAAATAAAATAACCTCTAACACAGAGAAATATCATTTTCCCATATATATTTCATATAAAAAGTACACTTTAGGAACAATCAATTTTTTATTTTCCAAAATTCTAGGATGGGATGGTGAGATTGAAAGAAACAAAGACAATTCATATCTATCATAAAATATATGCTATTATCCTTTTAGTAGAGTTTCTATGCTTAAAAAATACATTATAGCTAAATTGCAAATTAAGATATATAAATAGTGACTTTTTAATGCACCAATTTGACAAAGTTAATATTAGACTATTAATTGATAGTTAAATGTGAAACCAATACTCACTTCTACATGAAAATATGTATACAAATCATTCCTTAAATAACCTGTAAAATCTACATTCAAATTTCTTATTGGAGTTTTGTCTAACCAGATACTGTCAGGTGAGTTATGCAATCAATTGTACCAATTACCCTTTTAAATAAAAGACCATTTTTTACATTTTCCAATTTTTAAAAAGTGTTAAGTGGTATTAAATAGATTTGGGAAGCTATACAAAATTTTTGGGTATTTGGATGAAGAGTTAAATATTAATATATTAACATTTTTTAAATTATTTACCTCACTATTTATCTAGTGCTGAAATAAAGACCATATGCAAGAATTTTCCTAATACAGTATTCAGTAATAATTACTGTATTATGGCTGACTTTCAGTCTTTCAGACTTGAATTGATTGTTCAAAGGAGTATATACTGTAAAGCAGGGATGCATAGCTTATAAAACAGAACTACCAAATTTCTAATTCTAAAATGATTTGTAACATTCAGACATTAATAACCTGAAAATGTTTCCAAAAGAAATGAAAGTGCATTTTAACACCTGCGTCAAATCCTAGAATATGAATGGGTTTATGTATGAGTGAATGACCAGGGGAGAAAAAAGAGAATTAATTAAGACTGGACTCATTGGATATTTCCCCTCAGTTATGTATGTTAGAAGTTATATTACATACTCAAATTACTCTAATATTAGTCTCCAAATTAAAAATAGCCATGGCTAAAATATCACTATACACCATTTTTCAGGTACACTTCTAAGCCTGTTACATGTAGTTACTTACTCATTTATTCCTTACAAGTATCCAATGGGTAAGTGCCATTATTTCCCTCATTTTTCAGGTATGAGAAATAAGCCAGAAAAAGTAAGTTAACTTGTAAAAAATCACATGGCTAATGTCTGAAAGAGCTAGGCTTCAGAGTCAAATTGATTTCAAACTCTGAGCTGGTAGCTTCTGTGTTATACTACTTATTAAGCTTAATCATTGTTCTTTAAGTATATTTTCAGACAAATCAACTTACATTAGGTTTGTTACTTTTTATTTCTATTATTTATAAAGTGCCTCAAATGATGAATAAGGCCCTAATCAATTTGGCTCAGTGGATAGTGAGTCAGCCTGAAGGGTCCCAGGTTCGATTCTGGTCAAGGGCATGTACCTTTGTTATGGGCACATCTCCCTCCAGTAGGAGGTGTCCAGGAGGCAGCTGATCAATGTTTCTCTCTCATTGATATTTCTATCTATAATTTCTATCTATAACTCTCTATCCTCTCCCTTCCTCTCTGTAAAAAATCAATACTATATATTTTATATATGTTCTATATATATAAAAAAAAGTATAAGTAAGATTTAGGTAGTGAGGCTCTTTGACTCAGCAGCCAGAAGATATTACTTGAACACCTAGAAGACTCAATGCTATACTGCATATTGAGCAAAATCTTTTCTACTCTAGTAGCCATCTTGAAATGAGAAGAGTCCACTGGCATTTTGTAATGTCACTCTCTAGTATTTGTGATATGAAGAAAGGAAACAAGATTAGGAAGGGCATTTTGACTACTTTCACATGAAAATTAGAAAGAAGAGACATTTTGCTAATTCCAAAATACAAAATTCTTTTTCAGCTCTTCATCAAGGCAGAATTTGTATTAAATGGACGGCAACCTGACTCTTCAGTCAAGAAAACTGTCTTCCTTTACATTATGAATAAGGTTCATAAGGGGAGAGGTCTGAAAATTAGGTTTCATCTTCTCAAAGTCTTGACAAATGAAATGATTTCTGAGAAACCCAAAGTAGGGTAGTGCACAGCAGCTGATAGCTGATTTGGTAAATAATTAACGTTATGTTTCCGACTAGCTAAGGGGCTCACAATTTCCATGGAATGATGTGATCTGTAGTGCATCACTGACTATGTATTGAGTCCGACCTCTCAGGAAGATTTGTCAAACAGGCTAATTTTTCAAACCTGCTATTTTGTGCCTGGTTGAATTAATAAGCAAGATTTTAAACCTTATTTTGTCACCATAACACTTTTATCTTTTCTATTTTTAGTGGCTAAAAAGAAATTCCACATTGATTATATTGTTTCATTTGATTTGTAGGTGGCAATTACATAAAAAAATAAAGACATGTATTTGTCCACTCCACAAAACTATCCCAAACTGGAGTCAAATACCAAAATACTTTTTCTACCCTTTGGGTACTGAAATTAGGCACATAAAATATTTAGTTTTTAGCCATGCTTATTTTAACAATTTCCATGTATATAAGTAATAAAGCTTCAAACTAAATGTTAGTTAACAATCAGTTTGACTTTGGTGAACTGTAAAGCGTATGTCCTACACAAACAATCTATTCTTTTGTATGTGTCCATACCCCTTAATTTTTAAGAAATGTTTGCTAAATAATCCCTGGTATTTATATGCACAAAATACAAAAAAATACAGTATCATGTAAATGTATATATTTTTGTTTAAAACTAAGGATTCTAATTTCTTTACAGTTTTCTTTGAAACAAAACATTGTCCCCAAATACTACAAAATTGGGAACCAAATATGTATGATATCCTATATAATAAAGGGGTAATATGCAAATTGACCTTAAGGGCAGAATGACTGGGAACAACAGGTCACTATAATGTGCACAGACCACCAGGGGGCATATGCTCAATGCTGGAGCTGCTCTCTGGTGGTCAGTGCACTCCCACAGGGAGAGTTCCACTCAGCCACAAGCTGTTGACAGCTGCAAGCACAGTTGCGGGTGTGGGAACCGCTCCCGCCTCCTCCTGCCTCCTTAGCAGCACTAAGGATGTCTGACTATGGCTTAGGCCCACTCCCCCTGGGCTGCCAGAGGATTGTCTGACTGTCAGTTTTGGAGATAGGGCCTAAGCCACCAGGTAGACATCCCCCGAGGGGTCTTGGACAACATGAGGGCCCAGGCCAGGCTGAGGGATCCCCTCCCAAATGCACGAATTTTCATGTACCTCAAGTTTAAGAATAAAGAATGTCGGTATTAAACAGCGTGGCCGGATTATTATGATCTTTGAACTCATAATCATCCTGCCACTCAGTGTATATCCTATATAATAAAAGGCTAATATGCAAATTGTCCCCTTGACCAGGAGTTCAACCTGCAGACAGGCTGGCCAACTGCCAATGTCACCACCCCACTACCCCCGGCCAGGTTGGCCCAATCCCATGTATGCACAAATTTATGCATCGGGCCCCTCTAATACACACACACACACACACACACACACACACACACACACACACACACTGAGTGGCCAGATTATTATGTATTCAGATATCATAATAATCTGGACACTCAGTGTATAATAATTATCCCATTAAATCTCTTCTACTAAAGTCTTTAAAGTTCTGGTCAGTATTTGAATACTATAATCATTTTAAATTATATGTAATTTTTGTTTTTATGGAGAGTAAAACAACTTAAAATTTTCAGATTTAATAAGAACATTTTTTCTTCATATATATTGCCTTATACCAGAAAGTTTAGTTGTTTTTTTTTTCCCCAGAGAGAATAACTCACAGGCACAAGAGTTGCAGCCTTTGTTTAAAAAGTCAGTAATTAATAGGATCCACAGAAAGACACTGAGAATGTATTACCTTTAAATCAATCCTTGTGTATTCACAGCAAGCCATCTGCTCTTATGGAAACCTATTCTGAAAACAGTTAAACTCATTTTCAACAAAGGAGTCTCCCTAGCTTTATAATAAAATTCATATTTTCTAAAATAATCAGACTCCAGCAACAACAGCAGGTATTTGAGATAACCAATTAAAATCTATTCAGCAATGTATCACTGAAAAAAATAAAACTTACCACCCCCATTCTTCTGACATAGGTATGGGAATCGCCACACATTTCCTAGACCTACAGAAAATCCAACTTGGGCCAGGATGTATTGTAGCCTATTGGTCCAACTTAGTCTTTTATCTGTGATGTTAGCATCTGTATGTTTCTCTTTTTGGACATCAACCTCTAGTTCACTTTTCTTTAAAGCATCATCGGCTGCGTCTTCATTGGAAAGGTCTTTGGCAGATTCAATAATCTCATCTTCTAATTCATTTTTTATCATCTTGCTATTTTTAGGAATTGAAAAGTGCAGATTGTATTATTTTTCTTAAATTCTCTTATGGCAAATTTGTTAATTCTCTTAAAAAATAATTTAGTTAATATAAACAAAAGGTAGAGGACGATATCAAATAAATCCTTGTTTCAAGGTGATAAAGTCTTATGGATCCTGAATCTGTGTGTCCAATATGCTGCAGGTATCTGTAAAATTTTAAATTAAAAATGATAGTATTTAATGAGGAAAGTATTAAAATTACTCAAAACCATTTATTAATTTATATGATAAAACATCTTTCTAAAGAATATAAAACATGATTGTTGGCCTTTCAGAGCTTAATATTTCCACACGTGTAGGAATTGTACAGTTCCCATGAGCTTCATACACATTTTTTTTGTTAACATTTTCCTTTCAAAATTCCACTTTGATAGGACAAACTCAGTGCATAAAATATACTCTATTCATTTATAATTAAAATTTCATGACTCTTGCCCTCACTGGTTTAGCTCAGTGCATAGAACACATGTGTCAAACACAAGGACCGCGGGCCAAATCCGTCCCACCAGGCCTTGCAATGTGGCCCACACCGCGCTGTCATCACTGCACTCCGCTGCGTTTCCATCACAATGACAGTTTATGACTGTTCAGTAAACCATTCAGCCAGCGATTTAGGCTGGATTTTAGATTTTGGCCCCTTCTCTGATTGAGTTCGACACCCCTAGCATAGAACATCAGCCTTGGGACTGAAGGATTCTAAGCTGGATTCCACTCAAGGGCACATGCCTGGGTTGTGGGCTGGATCCCCATTGAGGGGCATGCAGAAGGTAGCTGGTCAATGAATCTCTCTCGTTATTGATGTTTCTATCTCTCTCTCCCTCTTCCTTCCTTTTTAAAAAATGTTTCCGAAACCAGTTTGGCTCAGTGGATAGAGCATAGGCCTGCAGACTGAAAGGTCTCAAGTTCGAGTCAGGTCAAGGACATGTACCTTGGTTGCAGGCACATCCCCAGTAGGGGGTGTGCAAGAGGCAGCTGATCAATGATTCTCTCTCACTGATGTTTCTAACTCTCTCTCCCTCTCTCTTCCTCTGTAAAAAATCAATAAATATATATACGTGTATATATATATATATATATATATATATATATATATATATATATATATATTTTAATTGTTGTGAGTCTTTTTCTTGATTCTTCCTTTTTTTCATTTCTAACTAAAATATAGCTCTCATTTTATTACTGATTGCCCCTAACTGCCCTCTCCTGCCAGCCTGATCTCAACCTTCGCAGCTCTCCCTTGCTAGCCTGATCACCCCTAACCGCCTTTGCCTGCCTGATTGCCCCTAACTGACTTCCCCTGATGACCTGGTTGCCCCCAACTGCCCTCCCCTACCAGCCTGATCACCTCTAACTGCCTCTGCCTTGGCCCTCACCACCATGGCTTTGTCTGAAAGGAAGTCAGATGTCCAGAAGATGGCCAGTCGACCTGGTTTAATTAGCATATTGCTCTTTTATTAGTATATATAAATTATATAGGATAGGATTGCTTAAATGGGATGGGGAGGTAAAGCCTTTTTCAGAAGAAGGAGGTGCTCTTGGTTGAGCCTTTGGTCATTTTGGACATTATAGACCCTGGATCTTTATATGTAGATAATAGACACATCTCTAGAAAAAGCACAAGACTGCTCATGGTGACTGCTTAGAACTGTCCAACAAGTTTTGTTATGGAAAAGGTTTTGAGAAAAAATAGTTTTAATTTCCATTATTTCCCCCTAAAGCTTAATAAATAGTAGTTGGCTAACTGAATAAATATAACCATTGAATAACTGAAATAAGCTAATTTTCCAAATTAGTTTTGCAGTAAGGAAACACCTGATAGATAAGAAATTGTGACTTGAAAGACATAAATTATCTAAAAGTTGCTGAAACTGGTTTGGCTCAGTGGATAAAGCATCAGTCTGTGGACTGAGGGGTCCCGGGTTCGATTCCGGTCAAGGGTATGTACATTGGTTGTGGGCACATCCCCAGTAGGGGATGTGCAGGAGGGAGCTGGTCGATGTTTCTCTCTCATCGATATTTCTAACTCTCTATCCCTCTCCCTTCCTCTCTGTGAAAAATCAATAAAATATGTATTTTTAAAAATTATCTAAAAGTCTACATTAATTGAATTATCTAAAGATAAACTGTTGACATAGTAATTTAACTAATATATGGATAACAGCATTGGTTTTACTCTGACAAACTTGGAGTTGCATCCTCAGTCAATTATCAGCTGCATAACTTCTACTAGTTATATCAACTTTATGCTGTTTCCTCAGTTAACAGTCTGATATTCCTTTTGCTTTTTTTCATACAAATAGAAAGCTGAGGAATGTATCAAAAATTAGAGATTCTATTACAGTAAAAATACTCATCATTTCATAAAGGAAAAATTTGAACAATAGTGTTTTTCATGAACCTCCACCATATTATCTCAGAAATTATTGTATTTCTTCTCTACATTTATAGTTTTGAAGAAAATTCAAAAACAAAAAAATCAAAATGAAAAATAATACCTTTTGACATTGTTGCATGTTTTTTACATATCCAATGAATAATAATAATACCAATTTACATAGAATAATCTTTGACAATATCTACATTTAAAAATTCCTGTTAATCTAAAGTTCATAGTTTCTGTTAAAAAACAAAAACATCGAATGTAAACAGTTTAAATGCAACTTCCTATTTAAAAATGCCGAAATATTAATAATTATACATGTATATTGTATAATGCAACACTAGCCAATTTTTATAAAATTGAATGTATCAGAAAGGGATGTTAAGTGTATATTTGCATGAATGTAGAGCTCCTTTTTAAAGTTCTAAAAAAGTGATAATATATTGATGATATTACAAGTAAAATAACTTTAGCTCTTTTTTCTCCTTCCATTTCTTACCCTCTGCTACCTACTGCTTTAGTCCAGGGTGGTTGCAAAAAAATATGGCATAGCATTGCAGTTTAATATTAAAATTTCAACCAAAAAAAACCCCACAAAAACATACTACATCTAGGGGTAAAGTATTTGTTTTCTTTACTAGGCCATAAACTTTTCCTGGAGAATAATTATATTTTACCAATCCACCTAATATTCTCAATGTATTCTTAAACTTATCTGTCAAGTGAATGAATGGAAGTAGACAGAATAACTAGTGGCCCAGTAGACAGATTTGTGCACATTGAAAGGAAATTAGAAGAAATGTTTTAATATCATTCTTTGCCCTTTCTCCATAATAGAAGTGTCAACCAAGTTCATGATCAGCAATGACAGATCAAAACAAGCATGAGACTGGTGCCAGCTAGAGCTTTATATGTATCATACATGTGGGAGTCAACTTAGGCAGCAAAGGGTGGCAGTTAGGGGTGACCAGGTCAGTGGGTGATCAGGCTGGCAGGCAGAAGAGGTTAGGGCAATCAGGAAGGTAGGCAGGCGAACAGTTGGGAGCGAGCAGTCCTGGATTGTGAGAGGGATGCCAGACTGCCCATTTAGACTCACTGGGATCGGGTCTAAACAGGCAGTTTAACATCCCTCAAGGGGTCCCAGATTGGAGAGGGTGCAGGCTGGGCTGAGGGACACCCCCCTATGCATGAATTTCGTGCACCAGGCCTCGTGTGTGTGTGTGTGTGTGTGTGTGTGTGTGTGTGTGTGTGTGTGTATTAGATTGCTCCTAACCACTCTCCCTTGCCAGCCTAATTACCTCTAACTACTCTTCCCTGCCAGCCTAACTGCAGCAGTGTTTGACTATATTCTGTGCAGTCAGGAAACTTGAAGTCATTTTCAAGGTCCACCATTTCTTATTTCTTGTCAGTTGGGTCAAGTTTCTAAATCTTCATTTTCCAGTTAATGTAGAGAAAAGAGGATTCTACCAAGTCTCCTATCTAACTACTCCAGAACTTCTGTGAGAATCAAATGAGATGAGGCATGTGACACAAACATTTGGTTAAACTATAAAATGTTTGAATCTGGCTATAAAGCAAGTCATGTTTCTGGGCTGAAGAAACTACAAGGAGGCTAGTTGCGAGGGAGAGGAAGCCAGGCATTGCTACATGATGTCATTACCTGGCACCCACAGCCACAATTTCCAGGCTTGGCTGGACTATGTGCAGAATATAATCAAATTTGGCTACAGATAAATATTTAACCCCTTTTCTCCCTGCATGATCTATAATAATAATCTTCTTCATGTTGATAATTATATCTGTGTAGCTGACAATTATCTAAAAGAGAAGTTGGGTGCTTCACGGGGCTGAAAAAAGTTTAGCTAAATCTATACATATAAAAGGTTAAGTTGACTCACACGTGCATGATACATATAAAGTTTTTTCTGGCACCAATTGCACATATGTTTTGATCTGTCATTGTCAATCGTGAATTTGGTTAACTCTTCTATTATAGAGAAAAGGAAAATAGCCATATTAAAATATTTCTTCTAATTAATTTCCTTTCAATGTGCATGGATCTGTGCACTGAGCAACTAGTTTTAGTATAGTTTAGAGAAACAATTAGTGGAAACTTCAATTAGATAAAGGTGATTCAACAAACTTAAAATGGATGTATTCAGGCAATAAAACACAAAATACTAAATGATAAAATAACAGGTTTTGCTTAGATTTGTGTTTTCACATAATAAAATTACTGTGAAAATGTTAAGTCTGAGAAATTACTGAGATAAAAATTCTTAGGGATGGTAAGCAGAAGTGGGAAGGAAAAATGAAAAGACTTCTCAGAATATTCAATTACCACTATTAAAACATTTTTATTTTTAATATGTTTTTATTTACTTTTTAATGTATTTTTATTGATTTCAGAGAGGGATTGATAGAAACAGCAATGATGAAAGAGAATCATTGATGGGCTACCTCCTGCATGCCATCTACTAGCGGTCAAGAGTGCACCCAGGCACATGCACCGACTGGGAATTGAAATGGTGACCTCTTTGTTTCTGGGTCAACGTTCAATCACAGAGCCACACCAGCTGGGCTCCCTTAGGATCTTTAAATACATATCATCAGTAAATAAATATAGTTTACCTTTTTCTGATTGTTTACTAATTTTTCTTGACTTATTGTAGTGTATGAACATCCACTAAAATTTGAATGTGAGTGTTAAGAGCAGACATCTTCCTCTATGCCCCAATGTTAGTGAAAAGTACTCAATATTTT